TTAGGGTTTCGGGCTTTATGGTTTTAGGTGCCGATGGTTGAGGGGTTTAAGGTGCTCCGGGGTTATGGGTTTAGCGATTAATTGATTAATTTAGGATTTAGGATCTATAAACCAATCTAAAGGGTGTGATGCTTTCGCGGCTTCCCTTCTCTGGGTCCTTGGAAGAGGTCTAAGCTTTTGTGTGGGGATCAGTTGCCCTTGAAGGTGTTCTTTCCGTCATCCCAAAACCCGAACTGCAGTTTCTCGGGCGATGGTTCGAAGTTATGAAGGACTACCTACAGTCTCCATTGGGATTCCGTTTTTGGTTAACCAGTTTTATGGTTGGGATACTAATAAACTAGGTTAACCAGCAAAAGGAACTACCATGGAGCCAATAGGTACTGTGTAAGTCTCCCTTGCAACTTGCAGCAGACGATCGCTGTGTTGCTGCGACCTCAAGAAAAGTGCAATAGCTATGCTCGTTCAGCTGCAACAGGTGCAGACTCTAGGAGCCTGAATAATTAGAATAGGGCTCCGGGCTCCTTTATAGTGTCACTACTCACTACAATAAGAAACCCTAAGGAATAACATTCGTCATCATGTGGGTTTAGGGCTTAGGGTTTTTTAGGCTTCTATATTTCCCCCTGAACCCTTTCGCGCGCACCTTCCATCTGAAGTCGCATCCCAACAGCCCTGAAGTTCACTGCTTTGCCAGAGTCATGTCCCTAAGGGGCCAGGTTCCTAAATGGTGTATACACTTTAGCCCCAAAGTACATATATTAGGGACGACTTAAGGCCAAAGTATATAAACCCTAGGCCCTAAACCCCAATTTAGGCGCATGGAACCTTGCAGGGTTCTCGGTGGATCTACCACACAACTCCGAATGAACACTGAAGTTCAACACGTGGCGCGCCTCTAAGCTGTTGTCTCCCCAGAGATTCTCTGCTTCGTGTCGAGCCTCTGGGTTTCAGGGGAGTTTCGCGCATCGTACAGAGTGCATGCGAAGGAAACGCAGTTTGGGTCATGGCCACAATCCTCTAAAATCCGCAAAAACACACCTAAACCCTAAGGACTCAAACTTTCACTTGTTTGAGGGCAGAGTCCCTGTAAAGGGGTCGGATGCCAAAGTTTATGTAGATGCCTTCTTCCTTGGCTTTCGGAAGTCGGTAATGTGATCGGTGTAAACAGTTGCATAATGATGTTCTTTCAAAGGCTCTCCGAATACAGTCAGTGGTAACAATGCACCGCAAACCCTAGTCTAACCATGCAGACTCGAGGCCAAGCCCGTACAGAAACCAACGGCAGAACCCTACAGCGGAAACCTGTCACAGAATTTATAAGCACCACCAAAATTAGGCACACGAAGCCCTTAGACAATCTAGTCAAACCCTAGCTCATCCTCATATATCCTTATGTAACTTTCGAAAGCCCTTGTGAAGCTCCTAACTGTGCCATGACACCTGCAAAGCGCTACAAGAACTCCTACAGAACGGTTTAGGTTTTGGGGTTTAGGGTTTAGGGTCACAAGATATTGTTACATCGCTTAGGGTTTTTCATAGATAAAGAAACTACCTTAAGCCCTAAACCCCTAAACCCTAAACCCCTAAACCCCTAAACCTTAAACCCTAAACCGAAAGAAGCTACCTTTAACTCGTTTGTCGGGTTCTCATGAAGGAATGTACCTTGATCGCTCGAGTATCTGAACAAGAAGGGGGCCTGCCTCAACAATTCGACAAGAGCTTAGTGTGTAGTACAGCATAAGTATCACAGGAATCCCTGAGGAATTATATTGTTCCCCGTTACCAGTTTAGGGTTTAGGGTTTAGGGTTTAGGGTTTAGGGTTTAGGGTTTAGGGTCATTAACCCTAGACCCTAAACCCTAAAGCCTATATACTTTTGATAAACTAAGGGGCTTCGGAGAGCTAGGTCTCCACAGGGTTTAAGGTTTAGGGTTTAGGGTTGGGGTTTCTTGAGACCTGTAGAGGGTCCCTGTGAAGTTCTAGAAGGATTTAGCATGAAGGTGGTGTCGGGTTTAGGAATTTGGGTCTGTGGTTTTGCGGTTGAGGGTTGACTTTTTAGAGATGCTGTATAGGGATGCTGGGTTCCGGGAGTTCAGGGCTTGTGGATTTCAGGTTTGGGGTGTCCGGAACTTGTGATTCTATGTTAATGTAGCGGCCTTAATAAATAGAATAGGGTTTTGGTGGTATACTTTACCATATTTGTAATAAGGACCAAAATATTATATGCAATTATTAAGGCCCCTATGATAGGCGTGAAATCCTTGCTTCAACATCCACTCGGACTTTGAGGGCCTGCTCCAGCAGATCCTTCTCGGCCGCATCTTGTGGCGAGCCCGGTTCTTCTGGCACATCCTCCTTTCAACGAAGGGGTTGGGTTTAGGGTTTAGGGTCTAGGACACATCCTCCTTTCAACGAAGGGTTGAGCCGGGGGTTCGGGCCGATACTGCCGGGTTTCGGATTTCAGGGGCTTGGGTTTTGCCTATTCTGTCACGGTTTATGGTTTAGTGTGGGCGAATTTCGGTTTTTGCGGACTTGCGGTTGAGAGACTCAGGGGTTCAGTGATGTCTGTAATAAGGCCCAAGGATACGATGCTGAGGGTTTAAAGTTTAGCATGTCGTGCATCTGGATATGGCTATAAGTTCGCAGATGAAGGTCTACAGCTTGTTTTTCGCAAAAGTGTGCGAGTCTGTCGTTTCAGTGCTGGTTCTTGCAACACTACAAAGAAGCAAGTTGCGGAAGCGAGCCCAACTGCACAATCCTTATGCCAGAAACACGAAACAGTGAACGACCGCGCCTTTGGTCACTGAAAGAGTACGCCAGGGCAACGTCCCGAAACCACTCTAGCACCACCCTAAGCCCTAAAACGTAAACCCTAAAGCCTAAACCCTAAAACCCTAACCCTAAACCCTGAACCCTTAACCCAAAACCTAAACCCTAAGACTCTAGATTCACGGCGGTACTTACGAAACAATGGAGATAACGAGATCATGCAGAGAAGGCCGAGAAGCAGTTTAGGGCTTAGGTTTAGGAGTTTAGGTTTTAGCCAAAGCCATCTCAAAGTGCTGGGACCGACAATGAGCTCGGAATTTTCGGATCTTTTTTCCTACGCCGAGGTCTTCTTTACCGTGCTCCACGGGTTTACTTGGTCAACAGCTATGCTGTGGCTGGATGAGCGGATCAGCTGGCTTCGGGATTGAGTGGTTCCAGTATAGCCCCAAGATTTCAAGCAATGCGCTCCGTGTCGTGCTCGCTGTACGTTCCCATCCTGCGAAAGATGTCGCTGCGTTTGCTGCTTTGGTCTCCCGCTGTCGTTCCTGATTCTCACGTGGCGCAACACAGCGCTGTAAGGCTGTACGGCTGGAAGCCGTGTAGAGCTTTGAAGTAGTAATTAGTCTGACGACAAACAGGTCCCGCACCGGTAAACCATGCTTAGAGGTCTTCCACTTGCATTGGAGTTCCACATGAAGTGGAGCACAGCGTGCATCATCAGCTGGACCTTCCTGTGGTTAACGATGCTGGCGATGCTGAGCTCTTGCAACGGGCATCACCAGGGCACTCGATTTCGGATCGAATCTCTGTGCGCCACAAGCCCTAAACCTGAAACCTCAAACTCGATTCCTTCGCACCAACAATACGAATCCGATGTCCTTGCTGCTTACAGTGAACTGGGCCGACTGGGAGGTTAGGACGGACGGAGCAATTGCTATACTTGTAGGCAATTACGACTAGCATGTTCGGCCAATATAGACGCGGCCAACCCTAAAAGCCCAAAACCGATAAGGGTTTGTAGATTTGACAGGATTTAACAGCAGATGTCTGTAGAATCACAAAACTAGTGGTGCTGAGCGCCTCAGCCCACCAAACTTTGAAACTCCTTTCACTGTAAATCGAAGATGGCCCTAGCCCGAAGATTTGGGGTGTAGAGTTTAGGGTGTGTGCAGTCGGCTTTAGGGGGTACTGCAGTGCCTCGCGGCCAGAATAGGACTACATAAGTGGGCTTACTAAGCTTTTACACGGTTTTAGGGGCCTACAATAGATATAGCCCGGTTGTGGAAGTTTGTCTTACAGTAGTTGTAGCAAGAAGAGGGCTATACGGGGATATTGTTACCACTGGTTCAATACCTTATGCTATTGCAGTTGTAGTCATACAGGGGCTATACGGGGATATTGCTACTATACTGGTTCACTACCTGACATGCTTTCCCTAAACCCTAAACCCTTCCGTGTGGCCACCGAGAACTCCCCCAATACTTTCATTACCCTCGAGTTCTAAAGCAGAGGTGTAGCAGTTTGGGTTGGATGCTTGTTGGGTGTTTCCTGGAGAGTTCTCGAAAGAACACCCCTACACCCCAAACCCTAAACCCTTAACCCTAAACCCTTAACCCTAAACCCTAAACCCTAAATGGTCCGATAATTTGTAGCAAACCCTTCAAAGCCATGGCCGAGGCCCCGGCATCCAAAACTGACGCCTGAGGATGTTGGGCCCAAAAGCCGTCACTACTTGGAGGATCATGGGAAGGGTTTAGGGTTTAGGGTTTAGGGTTTAGGGTTTAGGGTTTAGGGTTTAGGGTTTAGGGTTTAGGGTTTAGGGTGGGACTTAGTAAGTAGTTAGAAGTACCTTAATTGGGGTTATAAGTAGTTAGAAGTCTAGTTACCTTATTTATAACCTTAATTACGAAGTCCCCTGAACCTTTAAGTATCCCTCACTTCTCCGTCAACCCTTCAGTGACGTCGGGCCTATAAGTTTCTAGGGGCTACAAAACCCTAAACCCTAAACCTTTAGGGGTTAGTGGTGCTTCGGGACCCAAGGGCTCTCTACATCCTACCCATGCGCAGACCCTAATA